TAGAGCCCTACAACACGAAGATTCGATGTGGGAGTGAAAATCAAGACTAAGATTGTAAAGTATACCTAGGTCTTTCAACTCATGACTGATACAAGGGAAGAATCATATGTCTTGTATTGGAAGKGACAGATCGACATCTAGTGAACGACATAGTTAGAATATACAATTTTCTTAAACGTTTAGACAAATTTTAAATTATTTAACATTTTTTTTTAGTAGTTGTTGTGTTGATAAAAATTTAAGGCTCTGTCAAAACACTAGAAACTTTAATACAAGATCCCACAAGAGTTGTTATTGTAATTTATAGCAATTTAAAAATATTTAAAATGCATTCAAAATTTTTTTACAATCATTTAAATATTTAGAAATTTGCGAATCACTTAGTAGTTAAAAATGAATAAAATATTTAATGTTTATAAATGTTTAACGTTAAGGTTTAAATCTTTTTTTTTTATTATTATTATGAAAAATAGTGTATTTACGATCTATACAAGGTATAATAAGTAAATTTGATGACAAAATAACATTAAATACAGAAAAGGAAGGCTCCCAGTAGTGCCACCTGACAAGAACTTAGGATTTTAATTTTTAGTATTTTCTCCTTAGTTGATTTTTTTTATTAGGCATTGAGCAGATCTCTAGGCTATTGCCTTTTTAGCCTGGTTTAAATCTTAAATTTTAAAATAGAATATTTACAATCTGTAACACGAGTACAATTATGGCAAATGGGATTTTTTTTTACAAAATATTTACAGATATACTATGAGGAGGGAGGCTGTCCAGTGTCATGCATCACTGTTGTTAGGTGTTTGAAAGTTTAAATCTTTAATAATTTATAAAGTAAAAAACACAAATTATATACTTGCATAATGCATAATTTATTATTAACTTTCATTAAACTTTTCAAGTGCTTTACTTTCATATTAAAAAAAAACATGTTTAAAATATATTATTATAAAATTCATCTGAATGATTTAATATTAAATAAAAAATCAAATATTCTTATTATTTTAATTAAGAAGTGATGCTTAATACTGTTTGATATTTAAGGATTATCTGCTGGGCGTTTAGCAACCCATGCCTTAATTTGAGGTACAGCCAATACTTGTTCTTTAAGTGCTTTTAATTTTGGACGACCCTCTAATAAATCAATTTTTGCCATAAAATTCAAGTAGTCTAAAATAGCTACAAAAAATAAATCAGCCCAAGACAACTGAAAAAT